ATCCAAGCATTCCCACTCGCACGCCATTCATAGAATTTGTATCAGTCATTACAAGGGCTAACAGGGTCATGGCTAAAGCCTATAATTGGTGCTACCTGCTCCATAAGTGTTTCTGAACTATTTGGAATTCGTCCCAGTTGCGGCACATGCAGACAGGTCTGTAGATGAAAACCCTGTCAAGTTTTTCCTCAACTGTTAAACTGGTCACCTTGATTTAAACATCCAAATATTAGGTGTTGCGACACAAAGCTTTTAAAAGTCTTCCATGTGAGAGTGTGATATAAATAGAGGCTTTCTTTGGCTACAAGTGCTGCTTCCTCTCTCTTTTTGGGCACAATGTACTCAGACAACAGCAGGCCCTGTACAGCTCCTTCAGTCCTTCAGCCAGATTTACGGACCCTAGTTGTACAACTTGAATACTTCCCAGGGCACAGGAACAACAGATGGACCGTCACCCCTCCTCCATCCTTGGCATCTTAACCGTACAGTATAAAGCTCAAAGTTTGGGGCTTAGGCTAGTCATTTGCTAGTGGAGAATAAGACTGGAAGAACAAGAGTAGAAAACCAAAGCAATCAAATTAAGCGAAGAACTGGTACTAGAGTTGAGCCAATGATGAAGTCACAAACTCAGGTAGCGATTCAATGAATTTCTGTTTGTTATAATGGACATTTGCGACAGATAAAGGTATTTTTTACTTGATTTTGACCTTTGAAATATCGCATTCAAGGACACCCCAACAAAACATCAGGAGCACCTGAAGAGACAAAGAGACATTCTGGCTTTCCGAATGAAGAAGCTGTCATCAAAACAATCTGACTTCAATGTAAGTTGGTGAAACTCGCATTAATGTCTGAAAGTACAATAAATGCATTGCTTAAAATATGGCAGATGACCCTGATGTATCTGATTAAGTATGCTTTATTATTCCACAGAGCAAGGCTGCAGCTCAAAAAGAGAAGATTAAGAAAAAATATGATGACATGAAGAGGGTTTTGGATGAGGATCTGAGAATTACACTGAGCCAGTTGGATATTGAGACAGAGGCCATGGAGAGAACTGTTGAGGACAGTATTGAGAAGTGCTACCACCTCACGCGAGAAATAGATCAGCAACTCACTGAACTGTCTGCACAGATGGAGAAAGATCAACGTCAGGTTCAAGAGAAGGTGCATTTTTTGACCAGAACAGTGTCCTGTAGTAGTTTTCAGATAGTAATACTGTATAGCTGAGGTAGTAATAGAATGCTTGAAGGTTTGAACCATTTTGTCTTCATGAGCACCAAACCCCAAGTTGCTTAATTTTATTTTTAAAGAAATGAATACTTTTATTTACTTTTATTTCTATTTCAAATAAATGCTGCTCATTTGAAATTTGTATTCATCAAAAAATTATAAAAAAGAAATTTAAACATGGTTTGCACAAAAATATTAAGCAGCGCGCCCATTTTCAACATTGACAATAATAAGAAATATTAATTGAGCAGCAAATCAGCATATTTTTTTCTGAAGGATCATGTGTATTTTTGATCAAATAAATGCAGCCTTGGTGAGCATAGGGAGACCCCAAACTTTTGGATGGCAGTGTGTACTGTATATAATTTTCAGATGTAAAACCCATTTATATGGTTTGATAAAATATTAAGTATGATATTGAATAGATACTTAAATAATTTGCTTTTGTATTGTCATTTTATTGAAGCAATGGATGAACTGATCCCCCCCAAAACTATGTATATTTTTTCATGATGTTACAAAGTAGAAAGCAGAATAACAATATAAATTTTATAAAAATGTAAAAAAAAAAAAAAAAAGTTAAATATTCTCTTAAGCATGTTAACTACAGTATATTAGCCTTGAAAATAATTTTGTAAAACAATTTCTTTCAGTTTTTTTGCATACCTCAGTTTGAAAATCCCTTGCATAGAAAAATTAACGCAGCTGCACAATTTTATGAAATTGTATTTGCAGTGTGGAAATGTTCTACAAATAGCTCACTTTTTCACCCATGATTTCTCCATTTCTTTTACTTACAGATGTCGGAGATGGAGGAAAGGTAAGTAGTATTGCAGTTTTGGGAATTTGGTTTCTGGTCCATGACGGAAATGTATGATATGAACAGAAATTTGAAGTATGAAACACTCCAATGTGTTATGACAACGCATGTTTTCATTTGTGAGACGTGAAAAATAGTTTACTAAAGCATTTAATCAAGCATGCGATCTGAAGTTTCCGCACAACAGTCCTTCCTGCTTGTGGGGCATTAGTATTTTTTTTTCACATACTGTATTCTTCCTTGTTTATAGGATAATAGAGACTCTGAAGAAGACAGATCCAGAGTTAATGCAGATGGATGAGTTTAAGAATGAACAGCTGCTGGGCTTAACCATCAACCTGCTGCTGTTCATACGCTCTCAGGTTCCTGTCACCAGGAAACTCTTCCAAAGCTGTGAGGGTCTACACATTTTTTACATGAAAATTACTCTATCGCTTTTAGTATGTACAGCCTACGCATGTTCCTAAATCCCTGCAATGATTCCTAACACATGCTATCTTTTCCTCATACCTCTCACAAGGAATTTGTTTCTAAATATAGTTTCTAATTTTACGATGCCTTTGGCACTTTCTATTTCAGACGCCCAAGAAGTTGTTCTGGATCCTGACTCTGCTCACCCAAAGCTTATTATTTCCCCTGAGGGTGACTCAGTCACTTACACCGATACCTGGCAGGACGTTTCTGAAAACCCCTCTCGATTTGACACCACCCTGAATGTGATTAGCAGGAAGGGCTCCACGGATGTTCGCAACTACTGGGAGGTGCAGGTTACTGGTAAGACATACTGGGAACTAGGGCTCACATACCCCAACATCCCTAGGAAGGGTCGAGAGGAGGACTGCTGGTTGGGCCGGGGCCCGACGTCCTGGTGCATTGAATATTTCAATGGCAACTACACGGCCTGGCACAATGGTGTTCCCCATGAGCTCCCCCATGTAAGTGGGAGAACTTTTCAGCGCATTGGCATCTTCTCCAGCTCAGAAGGAGGTTTGGTTTGTTTCTTGGGGGCTGACACCATGACGCCCCTGTACAGTTTTTGTACAGGAACCTTCACAGACTCACTCTACCAGGCTGTCTGTCCTGGTCACGACAACCAGGAGACCAACAGGAAACCACTGCTTATTTGCGATGCTTCGAAATCCGCCCCATTCTTGTAATGGAAACCGATGATGGTGGGGTCTAATTCATTTATTCAGTAAGGATGCATTAAATTGATCAGAAGTGACAGTAAAGATATTCTTAATGTTACACAAGATTTTTCTTGTGTAAAAAAAGAATGCTGTTTTTTAACATTCTGTTCAAAAGTCCTGAATAAAATGTCACGGTTTTCATAAAAAAAAAAAAAAAACTTGTTTTCAACAATGATAATAGTAAGAAATGTTCCTTCAGCATCAAATCAGCATATTATAATAATTTCTGAAGGATTTACTGATAACTGCTGAAAGCTTTGCCATCATAGGGATAAATTACAAATAAAAAAGTTATAAAATTGTAATTTCAAAAACATTTCAAAATCTTAACGAACCTAAACTTCTGAACAGTAGTGTGTAAATACTTTGAAATATTAATGAAAGAAGGCAGATTTCAATAAAGTCTTTTAATACAATAAAAGAAGGCTTACAAAGGCATTCATTTGAATTAAAGTCATTTGAACAAAAATCAGCCCCACTTTATACAATGTAATGTTAACACAATGTAAACAAAATTTTTGGGGCATTTGTGCAAAAAAAAAAAACCATTAGTTAGAATTTTTCTATTTAACATTCCTATATTCACAGTTATGTATTTAAATAAAAAAACAATGTAATATAAAAATAAAAATAAAAATTTTCAATTTCAAAAGTGGAGCTAGCACTTCCTACAGTATAGTTGGAGCACTTCACTAATAATCCATGCATAAAGAAAAAAGGGCCTTTAATTTGTGGTGGTCAGATGGTGCACAGGCTGGCAGATTCAGTGTGTGATCTGGATGAACAATGAGAATGAAAGATACAGAAAGAACAGAAAGAAAAGGAAAAACTGTTGGACGAAACCAAAGACAACAAGCTCTGAAAGCATCAGAACCTTCCATCAAGTTTGAAACAGCACATTAGGTCAGATGGGTGATAAATGGTTAAAATGGTCACCAGTAAAACAATAGCTGCCTTTGTAGATTACAGACAGATTCAGTACAAAACATCAGTAAATACTACATGAAGCTACAGTGTGCTCAAAATACCCAGGATGAATGCTGATCTGATTTCAGTTTTTCAGTGAACGCAAACTAACCAGCGACCAGCATGAATGAAAAGCTTTTAAAAGCCGTGCAGCTGTCAGCATTACTTCACTATTTGCCACTCCATTTCCATTCATGCCCTTTCTTTGACCTCCTCTGAAGAGCGTTGTGGAAAAACCAAACCAAACCAAACCAAACTAAAATGCTACAGATGGCCATTTATATGCTTAGAATTTATGCTTGAGTTGCTAGTACTATAAAAACAGAACAATAGCAAAGGTTTTGTGTGGTATAGGATGTCTTTTTTCAAGCGCTATTTTTGTTTTTTACAAATATTTTTTATTAGGATCAATAAAGGGTTTTATCTAGTACAGTAAAAGTGGCAGAGAACTTTCAAAGTTGGCAAAGCAACATGGATATTTGACACTGCCAGTGGACAAAGTGACATCACTATTCCCTGGAATACTCTGAAAAAGAACATTCACTGAAAAAGTAGTGGATCTGAACAGGAAGTAGCACAAAGGAAGAACATTTCGGTGTCCATATGCCCAGCATAACATAAAAAAAATTGCGTTTGCACACAAACTTCCAGCTGGGATCAACCCTGAATGTTGTGACCGCTTGGTCGAGTGAAGTCAGTCGTTCAGTCAGTCAGTGGTCAGTCTTTGTACACCTGATGTGTCTTTCCTGCCTGCCATCCTGAAATGTGCACCGCTCACATTTATGTAAAAATATTTTGCTCAAGTATTAGACCGAGGTTTCCCTCCTTATGGCGGATCAATGACAAAAAAGGTTAAGAATTTGGTTAATATTTACTGTTAAAAGATAACAAATTAAAAGTGTGCTACTATAAAGTCCTTGGCAAGAAAATGTGCGTGCTGTGAAAAGGCAGACGGAGCACAGCATGTGAAGATGGTCTGCTCAGATCAGTTGAAGTAGAGCTCTTTAGTCAACATGGACACCACACAAGGTATCTGTTTCTTCTCGCTAAAATGAGGGTCCTCTGACCAGGACTCGAAGTAGGTGGCCACCATGTAGTTGACCCGAGTGAGGATCTGCATGATCTCAAGTTGCTTGCCAAACTCATTCAGAACGTTACAGAGGGCCTGGACAAACCAGGAGCCTCGGCCCGGATTCCTCCAGGAGTAGTAACCTGTGAGAACAAATGTGTAAGAATGTTACATTACTGTACAACTGTGTGTCACATGATGTCACAATATTTTAACTCAGGGCTGCATATCTAAACAGGTTTTCTGATTCACAACCTCTCGATTTGATTTAAATTGATTCAAATCTGATTCATCTGGGTATTTCAGTTTTAATGTCCATTTTGCTTGCATTTTGCTTTCACCTAGTGAAACTGTTAACTTGGTACTGTACATTACAACAATATTAATTGAAAAAATTAACAATAGGGTCTAAACTATGCAGTTCAATTGCTAACTGACAGATACAATAATCAATATAACAACACAAAAACTGTTAAGTGGATACCAACTGAAAAAAGGTAAATTGGATTTCTTGTAAAACTGTTATTATAGCATTGTATATAATTATTGCAAAAAAAGTAGCACAAAGGAAGATTGTTGTGTAAGATTTTATTCAGTGAGACATTTTACTGTCGGAAAATCAGTTATGCTGCTTAAACTTTTGTGGATACTGTGAGGTTTCTTTTATGGAGAGAAGTTTTTAAAAGAACAGCATTTATTTCAAATAGGAATTGTGAGATATAAATTTGAAATTTGCACCAAAAAGTCTGAACTGTGGGATAAAAAAGGGCAATTATCTTTTTATTGTTTTAAGCCGCCTTCACACTGCACGATTTTCGTCTGTCCCTGACGAAAGATTGGCATCGTGAAATAATCGTGGCGATTTCTGTGATCGTGGTTCCTCAACAGTGGTCCTATGTCGTACAGTGAGAGAGGTTCAAAGACGGCCGTTGTCATGGTCTTGTGACCAAAGATAGCCTGTGATAATTTTCTGACAGTGTCAGAAATTTTGCATGATCATCGCACAGTGTGTTTGATGCTACAACCTATGTTTACTGACCAGCCAATAAAAATGCAACATGAAATGCCATGTTAATCAACGTGACATGGCGCTAAAACTTAAAACTGTTTACCTCAATCTCTTTTAACTTCTTCTTTCACAGATCCTCTTTTTTTCAGCAAACATAATAAGTACAACTGGCAAACTGTGCTTCGTCATGCTCTTTTTGTTTACCACTAGCGCATGCTAATAACGTTTTATTCTTCAATAGTGACTTGCGCCGTAGCCTACGAGTCACTAGGTGTCATCATCATACAGTCTGCATACATGTCGTACCCAAGTTTATTAGATCCATGTCGTGCAGTGTGATTTGTAATGATCTTATAGGATTGCTAAAATTGTGCAGTGTGCAGAAGGCTTTATCCCATGCTGGGGAAAAAAAACTGAACTGTGCGATACAGTATAAACTCAGAATTCAGAGGAAAAGACAGAATTGTGAAATGTAATCTCAGAATTCTCCGAATTGTAAGATATAAACTCGCAGAGATAAGAAAGAGAAAAAAGAAACGTCTGTGGCGAAAATAAGCTTCCATACTTTACTGTTCTTAATGAATAGAAGTATTAATTTCTGTAAAAAAACAAAAGCTTACTGACCCTAAACTTTTGAACAGTAATGTATAAGTAATATATACATTGAGTTTGTGATTCTTTTTAAATGAATCATAAAAGTCATCTCTTCATGAATGAGACTAGACTGGTCAAGCTATATGTTTTTGACTCACTTAAAAAACTTGTTAAAAAGAACTTGAGTCATGAATTGGACTATAAGGAATGCTGTATGCTTATTGCATGCAGCTCTAGAGGACAACTCAAAAAAAAAATAAAAAGATGTGTTTTACGTGGGACTCTTCGAGATTAAATTTCCTGCATTCCACATTCTGTAAGTAAGAGTAAGAAAATACCTGGCACAGTTGAATAAGCAAACAGGAAGTCTGCCTCTACCGGAATCTTGTGTCTTGGATTGGCATCTGTCGTGTCATTGGGCGGTCCTGAGTCTGTTTGTACACCATCATCAAACTCTGAACCCCGACAAGCCTGCCAGTAAAAACACACGACCATGTCAATATCCACTTAAAATGCACTTCAAAAAAGGTAGGGTAACTCCGGGTGTGGTGCGACAGAAATAACATTAAAACAATAGACACCGTTGTATGTAGGTGCTCCATTTTCTCCTCCATCACTTCTTCCTTATCCTCCTCTCTCCTCCCCAAATCCTCCTGTGGCCCTGCTCCTCTTACCTGGATGAAAAAGAGCTTGGGCTTGCCCACGAGGCTCTTGCACATGTCTCCTTTGAAGAACGAGGTCATGCTCTTGATGGGCATTGCTCCGTCCGTGCCGTAAATCATGCCCTCCTCGCCGTGGCTCAGCAAGATGCAGGCGAAGCAGGAGCTGTCGCTGTGGTCCTCTTCTGAGACTGAAACACGTACAGACAAAATATGTGAGAGAAGAAAAAGAAACCTTTTTTTCACACTTTTAGTCATCTTAGTTGTGGATAAAAACTGGGTTTGCAAACACTTTACACTTTTAATAACGCAAGTAATTTAGGCCACTAACAGTAGAGGGCAGCAGAGAGACTTAAATAATATAAATGTGACGTTTGACAAAATCAAGTCAGCACAACTAAAAAACATAATTACACAAATCTACAAAAAAATCTTGTTCTAAGATGAACTACTTAATATCCAAGACCAAAAAAAAAAAAGAATTAAAAAAGGCTATATATTGCAACAAGCTAAGTGAAAAAAAAATTCCAAGATTATACTGAGCATTTAATTCAATATTGAAAAGCATAGCTAAAAACATTTTATTGGTGCCATTAAAATGATAATATTAGCCAATATTTGTGTATTTTCATGCTAATAATGTATGCTTGTGATGCAGTTAGCTGAGCAACACACTTAATGCCTTATACAAGTCGAGTCTTAAATAGACTGAAAGCGGTTATATTGCGTTAAAAAGCAGATGCCTATATAGTCAGTGGACAGCTAGGTACTGTAGTTCACTTATTTTTAGAACAGAACAACATTCAAAACAACATGTTATGATGCAATCTTAAAGAAATCAGGTAGCCTAACCACATTCCACAAAAGTTCCATGACACGTTTTTAGATTTTTTTTTTCTTTCTGGTTCTTACTGATATATGACACTCACATGTTTTCATTTCATATGTTTCATAAAATTTCCCAGCAGAGTTATGTAAGCCTAATTTAAAAAATGGATGTGGCATTTTGATGATCTGGGGTACAGATACATATTTTGTCCACTCACCTTCTTTAAGTAGCCGCTCCATGTTCCTGCAGGTCTGGTCATCGTAGATGAAAACTTCAAAGCCCAAGTTTTTAAAGCACTTGGACAGCTCTTCAGCATCTCGATCTGTGCCATTGCGTACATTCATCCCTTAAACACAGATCACAAAGTAAGCAGACAGAGCATCAATCTAGTAACTTTAAATGACTCAACATTCAATTTCTATTTTCCATCAAACTTTTAACAGCAGTCACATTAGTGTCTATCCATAGTGACTATGGTGAATATAAGCCACAGATATACAGGTTTAATTTTGTTCTAAATATCTTTTTTGACCCTCCACTTTGGAATACTAATGCATTTTTATACGTTTTGTTGTTGTTTTTTACTATTACATCATTATATAGATGAGTAAATCTGATTTATCCCGCATACAGATCACAATTTACACAAATTATTAGTCATTAAAACAATGTTTTCATTAAAAAAGTTTATATCAATGTAAATGACAGAAATATGGATATTCTTTTTTAACTATTTACCAATAATGAATTAGATCAAAACTATTAGGTAGAAGCTCATAAAAACAGTTGGGTCTATAACATATAACAAAACATTGTTTAATACTATTATTAATATTATTGCCCTAATAAACTACAAATAACAATAAATACAACTGTTTTTACTGGGTGTGCTAAATCAGTATTGATTGGTCAACATAGCATAACATGGAGATGAAGCCTCACCTGTCTTTTCATCAAAGTTCTTGTTGTTGATGATGATGCACTTGCCAACGCGCTGGTGGCTCATCTTATACTGGAATGTTGGAGAAACAATCCTGTAATGGCTTTCAGAAGATTGCTCTTTTTCCTGCAACTTGCCATCCTTCTTCTTACTGAGAGACAGAGACAGACAGTCAACCAATCTATTACAAACCTTCATCCATCATGTGCATCACCTAATATATATTTATAAGAACATAGTGTGTTCTAAGAGACAAAATAATAAATAAGCTCATCTGTAAATTGAAGAACAATCAAACCTCAAAGAAAATACAACCCATGCCAGTCAGAGAATCGGAAAATAGCAGCTAACCGGGATATCCGGTGTCATGAAGACAATTAAATCCCCTTATTGATCATAATATTAGTTGCTCTAAAACTTCACGGTGTCCCAAACATAATATTCCACATGCCTGAGGGAAAATTCTCACAGACGTCTCATATCCCCATTGTGAAATAATCTGTCCAGATTAGTAGGCCACAGTGGCCACTGGATGTACAATATGTGCCAGTATTCCAGAAGAGCCTAGTCATCACGTTACCCAACCACAACAATGGGTTCCTGCCTATACACTCTCTCTCACACACATGCACAGTGGAGCGAATCACAGGTGTCCCATGTGATGAGGGGCAGCAACCCCCCCAACTCCCCCCTACTACCTCCTATCCCATCCGAGCGCTCTCCTACCTGGGCTCTTCTTTAAATGCTACGCCACTCTGCATTGAAACGTGTTGCTCTTCCCTCTAGATCTGCTGAATCTTTCCCAGATTTTAGGCTCTTTTGGGTGGATTTTTTCCTTGTGGTTTGGTGTTGTGTGGTGTGTGCTAGGATCCCGGCATGCTCTATACTCTACAAAGAGTGGAGTGGTGGCTCCGCTGGGCTGGGGCGGCGCACCCTACCTGAGTCAGCACACACACCACCCCCCAGAGCTTTCCAAAGGCCTATTCAAACCCCTCTACCAGGGTCACGCAGGACAAGAGCACACCTCTACTGACAAACACACTATCACACTACATATTAGGCCTGTTGCAGACCACACACACTCAAAAGTTCCAAATAAAATCTTAAAATAATCTTAACATAATTATTTTTTTAATTGCAGAGAAACTAGTATAATTCTAAATATGCAGTTGGATTCATACTGAAAAGATATATATTCTGGACATCTCAAAACACATTCAAGCACGTTCAAATATCCTACATGTGATGCAAGCGTTACAGCTTGTTGGCCTTGTCATTTACAAAGATGACTGTGGCGCCACCTAGTGTATGACATGGCTTTTAACATCTGAAGCTGTACTTGCAACTACTACTGTAAATTATAAATAATTAACTAAACAACTACTAAATAATTCACTGAATTACTGTCACAAAAGAGAAAAAGTAAACAGTTTTCCCCCTCACCTGAATAACAGGTTAGGTCAATAGTTAGGATAGATGAAATAAGTTAGAAATAGTCTCACCTGCCAAAAAGCATAAATCTCCCTTTGCGGTCAGGTTTTGCATCTACTGTGTCTCCTTCTCCATAGTTCTCTTGGTCCTCCATCGTCTCTGCACTCTCAGTGGTGAGGGTTTCTTTATCCATTCTGGAGCAAGAATTAACGACATGTTACCCCATCCTCTCCTTACTGACATTGACTATTGTCATGTAGTTTCTGCCAAAACACAAGCTGTGGTTACTTAGTGTCTCTTACTGGCATCAAAATAAGGAATTCAAATGAAAGAAAAGTTCTTAAACTGTTTGTAGGAAAACCCATATTAGTAGGCTACACTGTAATTTTTAAATTTTTTTACATTTTACAGTAGTGAAAATAACTGTGTAGGTGGATTAGTATAATGTGGGACACTGACTAATGTGGGACACCTAAGCTTCAGTGGGTTTATCTCTTCTTTTACAACATTAAAGTGAACATGATTGGTGTTGAATTCAAGCAGGGGTGTCAAGTTATTGAAATCACTCGACTTTCTGGAAATTATGTCAGAAATGTGGCCATGAAAATCATCAAACAGGATGCACCTCTTGTAAAGTTCACTCAAAAGTCAGTGGCATAGGATTTAGACAAAATTAATGTTAAGGGTATAAATCTGTTATAAATAAAACAATGTTGTAAATTGTTATCAAATTATATTTGTGATGTATTTGTACAACACATTTTGCAATAATATTGTTAAAATGTGTTAAGAATATTTTCTATTTGATGCAATTTTTGTCGTCCCACTTTAGAAAAGGATGTTTCAAAAGTGGGACAGCACATTTTGACTAATGTGGGACAGTCAAATATTCGTTGTTATTCAATTCATAAAATGTGCATTAAGAAAGTTAAA